TTTTTTTTTTTTTTTAATATATCTTTATTGATTTCAGAGAGAGGAAAGGAGGGGGAGAGGGAGATAGAAACATCAATGATGAGAGAGTCATTGTTCGAGCCCGCAACCCGGGCATGTGCCCTGACCGGGAATCAAACACCGATCGCCTGGATCCCAGGTCGATGCTCAACCGCTGAGCCACGCCCGGCCGGGCTTCTAATATTTTCTTTCTTGCTGCAAGAGCTCACATTCTCTTTGCCCTGTGAGGGGTCAGTATGTTAGCGGACAGGGGCCAGCCCGGAGCAGGTCTGCCTCAGGCAGGCCTGTAGTGTGTGGGTCCTTGACTGCATGTGAGAAAGATCAACACGAGTCCAGATGGGTTTGAGAATATGTTTATTAATGCTGGGGACAATGAAACAATGGGAGAAATTAGGGTAGAAGAAACAACAAAGGAGAGCCTAGGTGGTGCTCTGCTTTGGGTCCCTAGAAACATTATAGGAAAGAAGTGAGGCAAGCCAGGGCTGCTGTTGGCTCACAGGGAAGTGAAGGTGACAGTAATAGAAGTGAGCCTAGGCGGGGCTGCTTTAGCTCACTGGGAATCAGAGAAAAAGGGGGTCTTCTCCAAGGATCAGGATCAGGGGCTGAGCCCGGGTCAAACTGCCGCTGCCCACTGCTCCCCTGGCAGCAAGTCTCATGAGGAACCTAGAAATTAGGAAGAAATAAAAAGTTCATGCCCTGGATGGGGCATGGGCATGCTCTAGAGTGAGCCCGCATTGAGTCATTGTACTGAGGGGTTTTTTTTCCATTTTTTTTCTCTGCAGGCAAGAATCTTAGCGGAAGGTTTCAATAGAATATTCATCAGCTTTCCAGGTGCATTTTAAAATATGCTGATGCATTAAAATGAGTGTACAGGGTAGTTTTGGATAATTCTTTGGTCTGTTTTACGGTTTTACTTTTATCTTAGGTGTGTCTGGCTTTAATGGGGTTTCTGTTATTTGTTCCCCAACTTCATCTGTCCTTGAGTTTAGCTGGCACAAATGGCATTAATTGGGTCTTTGTTCTCTATTTTCCCAGGCCAGGGTGATTTAAGCTATGTATTCTCTGGTTATGAACCATTTGTTCTCAAGTGTCCTTGGTTAGATAAGATAAGGTCTTGCAGTTCACAAGCTGGCTGCAAGCTGCCCAAACTGTTTGGCCTTATTTAATTTTCTTGTCTCAGTTTCCCCATTCCACTTGCCCAGAAATGTTATAGGAAAGAAGTGAGCCAAGGCAGGGAAAACCTAAGGATTTTCTTACCTTCTTACTATCCTGTTACAGATATGGCAAAGAACTAAACCCAGCTTCTGTCTAACTCAGCAGGAAACTGAGTCCCTTGGTACAACATCCCATTAGTAACTGGATCCTGCAGACAATTTCACAAGTAACTGTATTAGATTGCTTGGGCTATCATAACAAAATACCACAGATTAGGTGACTAAAACAACTGAAATTTACTTTATCACAGTTCAGGAGACTAAAATTTATGATCAAGGTGCTGGCAAATTTGGTGTGTAGTAAGAGCTCTCTTCCTGGTCACCTTCTCACCATGTTCTCACATGGCTTTTTCTCTGTATGCATGAGGAAAGAGAGAGAGCTCACTGCTATCTCCTCCTCTACTTATAAGGACACCAATTTTATTGGATTGGGCCCCCAACCTTAAAACCTCATTTAATCTTAATAACCTTCCTATATATTCTATCTCCAAATAGGTAATATCGGTGGTTAGAGATTCGACTTAAAAATTTGGGGGAC